ACATACCCTAAGAGAACAGAAACTTTATGCTAAACTGTTTAAATGTGAATTTTGGCTTGATCATGTTATGTTTTTGGGGCATTTTGTTAGCAAAGATGGAATTTCTGTTGATCCGCAGAAAATTGAAGCTGTAGTAAACTGGCCTAGACCAACAAATGTGACAGAAGTCCGAAGCTTTTTGGGACTAGCCGGGTATTACAGAAGATTTGTCAAAGATTTCTCCAAAATTGCCTTACCGTTGACTTAGTTAATTCAGAAGGGGATATCATTTGATTGGACTGACCAAAGGGAATCAACATTCCAAGAGTTGAAAACTCGACTTGTAACTGCATTGATTCTTATCCTACCTTCAGGTACGGATGGTTTTACTGTATTTAGTGATGCTTCTCATAAGGGTTTGGGATGTGTTTTAATGCAGAATGGGAGAGTTATTGCTTATGCTTCCCGACAACTGAGACCGCACGAAAAGAATTACCCAACCTATGATCTGGAACTTGCTACAGTAGTATTTGCACTGAAAATCTGGCGTCACTACCTATATGGGGCAGCATGTGAAGTATATACCGATCACAAAAGTTTGAAATATTTTTTCACACAGAAAGAACTGAACATGAGACAGCGGAGATGGCTAGAACTGATTAAAGACTATGACCTACAGATTTTGTACCATCTGGGAAAAGCCAACACCGTTGTCGATGCACTGAGTCAGAAATCGATTGGAAATTTAGCCTGTTTGCTTACCGGGCAGAACGAATTGCTTTGTGACATTGAAAAATCTGAAATTGAAATCATTTTGCGAGAAGTAGGTGGAACCTTAGCTGCTATTTCTATTCAACTAGCACTGATTGAAGAGATTAAAGAGAAACAGCAACTGGATGACTTCTTGAAGAAGATCATCGAAGAAAGGGAATCTAAACAAAGATTGGGTTTCAAATTTGAAAATAATCTACTGAAATTTCAAGAAAGACTGTGTGTATCGAATGATTCTGAATTGAAAAGAAGAGTTCTACAAGAAGGCCACAATTCAAAATTTTCTATCCATCCAGGGAATACGAAAATGTACCAAGACCTGAAACTAAATTTCTGGTGGTCGAGAATGAAGAAAGAAATTGCTGATTTTGTATCGAAATATCTTCATTGCCAACAAGTCAAAGCCGAACATCAACGACCCGCAGGCTTACTGCAACCCTTACCTATACCGGTGTGGAAATGAGAACATATCACCATAGATTTTATTGTGGGATTGCCTCGCTCCAGTAAAGGTATGGACTCAATTTGGGTTATTGTTGATAGACTGACTAAATCTGCTCACTTCTTACCTGTCAAAACAATTTATAATGCGGACAAATTGACTGTAATTTATATTGATGAAATTATTAGACTGCATGGAGTGCCTGTGTCCATTGTTTTTTACAGAGATTCGAAGTTTACATCGAGATTTTGCAAAGCCTACAGACTGCATTGGGTACTGAATTGAGATTGAGTAGTGCTTATCATCCTCAGACAAATGGCCAGTCAGAAAGGACCATCCAGACTCTAGAGGATTTACTGAGAATGTATGTTCTTGATTTTCAGGAAAACTGGGAAAGCCATTTGCCTTTAGCTGAATTCGCCTACAATAACAGTTTTCATTCGAGCATTGGTATGGCGCCTTTCGAAGCATTGTATGGCAGAAAATGTAGATCTCCGATTTGCTGGGCAGAAGTTGGAGATGGGCCTTTGCTTGGGCCCGAGATTGTATATGAAATGACTGAGAAAGTGAAACTAATACAACAAAGACTGAAAACTGCATAGAGTAGGCAGAAAAGTTACGCTGATGTCAGAAAACGAGACAGAGAATATGAAGTAGGTGATCACGTTTTTGTGAAAGTGACACCGATGAAAGGCCAGACTCGTTTTGGAGTCAAAGGTAAGTTAGCGCCAAAATATGTCGGACCGTATGAGATTATTGAGAAAATCAATCCGGTGGCGTATCAAGTGGCACTTCCTCTTGAAATGGAGCATATGCACAACGTCTTTCACATTTCTATGTTGAGGGATTACCTCCAGGATCCTTTCCATGTGATAGAGCCTACTCGTGTAGTACTGAGTGATGACTACACTTACGAGGAATAGCCTATTCAGATTGTAAACAGACGGATCAAGAAGTTGAGAAACAAAGAGATCCCGTTAGTGAAAGTCGACTGGCAAAACCATGGTGGCGTGTATGCCACTTGGGAAAGGGAAGAGGACATGGCCAAAAGAAATCCTGAACTGTTTCCACTGAATCCTGTTTTCTTCCAGACTGAAGGTAACTCGAGTTTAGAGGACTAAACTCTTTTTAAGGAGGGGAGACTGTAACAACCCTTACCATTGTTCACCGATAAACTACCGATTACTGCTAAACTGTGACTGATTATGATAAGTAATTGAACTAATTGAAATACTGAACTGACTGACTGAAATCTGAAACTGATTGATTAAATATATCTGTTTGAATTGCATTTCTATCTGTTGCCTATTTGATTATCTATTCATGTTTTTATGTTTAAACTGCAAATTGAAGGCCTTATCTGCGGCCGAACCGAAAATTGATTAGTGTTTTACGATAATCATAATTTATATGATTTTATGGTATATTTATTTGAAATTTGATTTGGTATGGTTTAATTAGATTAAAATGAGCTTAATCCCATAAGTTGCATTATCTACCACTTTGCCATGCCTAGTGACCCACTAACTAAACACTTTATGCTACATACACACTTGACCAAAACATCTTTTTCAGCCATTTTTGAGAGACATAGTCGACTAGAGTGAGAGAGTAAGAGGCTAGGAGTGTTTTCAACTCGATTTTGTGGATTGGCTTGAAGAACTTGAAGAATTGAAGTATAGATTGTAAATTGAGCTCCCTTATCTTGCATTGGAGACTTAAGGTAGTATAATTACCCTCTTGTTTATGATTTGAGCTTGTTTTTGCATGATTTATGTCTAAATTAAGGGAATGAGTCTAGAACTAGCTTAAGTTGTTGAATTGAAGCTTAATCTTTGTATGTATGGAAAACTCTTGCATTTTGAAGTTGTTCTTCATAAATTTGGTACATGCATGTTCATGTTTTTGCAAATGGACCATGAATTCACCATGATTTTAGAAGGATTGGCTCAATTGCGCTAGCATTTGAAGTTTTGAAGTTGTTAAATTCATGCATGTTATACATTCATCATGTTCTTGAAATGTTGTTTGAAATTGGGTTTATTTGAACTATCTTTGGGCTTTGATTTTTACAATTGAGCTTTGAATCATGTTAAACTATGAGTTTTGAAGTGTTTTCCAGGAAATGGGCCCAAAGGAATCGAATTTGATACATTTGTAGTTGAATTTGAGCTTGAGGTTCAAATCTGGGAATTCCAGATTTTGAACTCACGCTCGAGCGGGGTGACTGGCGTTCGAGCGTGGAAATCGTGCTCCCAGCATTTTGTTCTGTTTTTAGGTCAGCTGGAGCGGGGTAATTTATACTCGAGCGGGACCTTGTGTTTTACGCTCGAGCGGGTGTCGAGCGCCCAATCGAGCGTGAATTTCACTTGTCCAGCACTTTTGACTGTTTTGAAGTACGCTTGAGCGGTTGAGTCTGTGCTCAAGCAGAAACCTTTGTCTGCATGTCCGCTTGAACGGATTAACCTACGCTCGAGCGGGACCCCTGTTTTTCTGAAAATGCTTTTAAAGTGAATCTTTGCATCCTCATTTCATCCTAGGCATTCTTAGGCCTAGTTTAAGACATCTTAATGAGGGTATAGATGTAGAACCACACCGAGACAAGTTAGGGATTAAATTATTATCTTTCCTAACTGTGTAGCTTAGTGTGTGTTCAATCTGTAAACTGTGTAGGGTTGGCGACTGGGGACGCGCTCTAGCCTAACTGTAGCCCAGAGCTCTGTGAGTAACAACTGTGTAAAGATATGTTCAAAAATGATTATCTTCTGAACAATTGAACTGTACTGTTTCTGAATTGATACTGTTAACTGAATGAATGAATGTACTATATTCTGAACTGTATTGTGGCAT